CCCCAAAACCCCAAAACCCCAAAACCCCAAAACCCCTTATGGCCTAAAAAAGCCTGAATATTTACAATAAAATTATAAATGGGGCGAGATCGTGACCAACAAGAGAACGAAGTTGAACCACAGGAATACGAAGAAGCTGAATACGATGTAGACAATGACGAGCTCTTCAGAGATGCAGACGGAGACGCAGAGACTGTCGACATGGAAAATGATGATCCTATTATGGGTGTCGTACCCAAGCTGAAGGAAGATAATAAAAAAGGCAAGAAGGAAATTAAATAAGCTTATGAATGATTTTGAAAATGAAGAAGAAAAGGTATATGATAAGTACACTGAAGCACCAGATTTCGAACAAGACCATTTGGGTATGGAGAAAGTTAACCTGGAACAACTTAATGAAGAAGAGAAACTTATTGAAAGATCTAGGCTCAAAGAGCAAAGACATCTAATGGAAGAGTATGAAGATGATAGAATGGACCTTCTTAATACGGAGCGTAAAGAGGAAGACAAAATGAAATACGCTAGTTCAGTCATGGCAAATCAACTTCTGCTTGAAGAAAACAGAGCTACTATAGAAGTCAGGGAGAATGAAGCCAGAACATTCAGACAGTTCGCTAAAAAGGAAGAACATATGAAGGTTAAGATATTTAAGGATGAAGGTGAATTAGTAAACATGAAGAAACACCTTAGATTCAGCAAGCATAAAGCCAAAAGCCATCTTTTTGGAGGATCCAGAGATAAGGTACTAAGCTTAAGATGGAACCAGACACCAACTCCTCTTGAGGTGAAAATTTTGATGGCTAGGAAGGTCAATGAAAAGCTAGAGAGAGCTCATTACGCTTTGAACGTTACAATAATGGATGGCTTTGGAGGAAACGAAATATTTTTCAAATTCTCAAAAGATATTATAAATGATGACTACAGAGACAAGCTCATTCATATGATCCGAAGAGAAGAAAGAGAACATGAGAGTAAAGATGAGAGCAAAAATGACTCAGATAGCTCGAGTGAGATAAACTCAGACAGTGATAGAGTTCCTAAAAGAAGACTTCAAGCACCAAAGGAGGCTGATGACGGACCGGGAAGACTCGAATTTTTGAAACAAACTTTGAAAAGATTGGAAAATAACAATGAAAATTTCATGGATAAAAGTGAAGGTGACTTTGATGATGTCTCACTTAACTCTTTCCTTATGCCTGATGTTGAGCACAAAAGAAGGAAGAGAGCTGACTTCCACATTGATGACACTGTTAATAAGCAAGGTGATACAACAATGAAGAAGAATATGATTAATGAGTTTAAACAAGTTCTTCTCAATTTTCAGAAAAATTTCTCAAGCTTACAAAATTTCGATCAGCCTCTTGAAGATGAGGAGTTACAGTTTGAGAATAAAATTTATTTCATGGTTCCTCATGAGCACATCATCGAACCTTCCTATATCATAATGTTTGAATTAATCTTGCTTGATGAGAAGCTGTCCTCTACAAGTGACAGAGTTGTTGCCTGGGGTGCATATCCTCTGATCAACAGAGGAAAGTTCAAAGTTCCATTAATTCGTGGAAAATACGATCCAAATGTAGACAAGTTTAAAGATATTGAAGGAAAATACATGAAAAATATCGATGAATGGGTCTGAAACCTCTATTTTGAACTTAGAGATATCAAACTTGTAGAATGTGCTGGGCATAAAGAGTTCATGGAATTTCCAATCCCCTCAGAGATCCAAGCCTACCTCGAAGGAAAAATCAATGAGAAAGAGCTTGACAATATTTATCAAAAGAGACAAATGCTAGGAGGTGTTGAAGGTGAGGGAGAAGGAGATCAAGATAGCAGTGAAGAAGAGAAAGGTGAAGAAGAGCACATGAACCAGAGCCAAAGCCAAAACCTCTCTGAAAATGAGATGAAAAAGCTAGTTAAAGGAGAGTTCATCATGAACGGATCTGATGATAATATTGATTCTGACTCAGATCAAGAGTCCCAATATGATATCGAAGGAGAAGAAGATGTCATCCCAGAACTTGCTTCTTTAGATTACAGAGAGTATAAGTATGGTATTACAAAGAAACTACTTTTTGCTCATGATGAGGAGGAAGAGCTCAAGAACATGAGGTATATCTTCAAAGAGCTGCTTCTTGATATTGGTATTGGAAGATTCACCATTGGATCTGCTCTCACATCAATAATTATAATGTTCTTAGCCATCTGGTTAAGAATGTACATCCATTACTTGTTCCAATATATCTTCTTGAAACTGATAGATGTGCCTGTATCTGAAACCAAGATCATGCTTTACAGGATTGTTATAGATTATGGATTTTGGAATGTGTATCAAGAAGTCATTTCAGTTATGTCAGGGCCCTTTGGCTGCACTCTATTTTTCAGCATTCTCATCTTCTTGACTTACTTAGGACATCAATATGTCGAGTTCTTCCCAAAAGTGTTCTCCAAATTTGTTGTATGGTTCGGCTTTGGGTCAATGGGAGATGGAATTCTTATTGCAATTGTAGATACCGCTATTAGAAACAAGGAAGGTGATTTTTATAAGCTCCCTAATTACTATGAAAAGGCAGAAGATTCACCAATTGCTGGATATATAGTGGTCACTGTAATTTATATCTTCTTCATAATCTTGAATGTGATTATATTTTACAACTACATTATCTACCTACACATGAATGGAAAGCTACAGGATATTTACGCAAGACTCTCTGGAGATCCAAAGGTATTCTTCATTCCTCATGATAATGAGATTTCACTGAGACATCTTCTCTGGGCTTATCACACTGCTATAACTAACAGTCAAAGAATTGTTGTTAACCAGATTAATGTTTTCAATGATTATGGAGAACCAGGAAAAGTTACCACTCTTCAAACTTCGATTTATAAAACTAAATCCTCACTAGAAATTTCAAGAACCTTTATTAGAGATGAAATAGGTTGTGTGAGAGAACTCACAGAAAATGAAATTTCATACTGTAACGCTCGAGACAACCTTGATTTAATTAAGTTTTTCGATCAAGTTCCTACTAAAGCTGGAAAAGACTTTCATGATAGGATCGAAGGACTAGACGAACATCTCAACCTTGCTGTGAGAGATATAGAAAAAGCAAATCCAAACATCAACAAATATGTTGAACCAGAGCGAGATAGACAAATGAAATCTGATAGATCATTCAATAGAAAGATGTCTATGCCAAGAAGAATGGCATCTGCAAGATCAAACAAATCGATCCTTCACCGTGCTGAGACAGCTAGATCAAGAGCTATAGCAAGAAGAAGTTCAATTAGGTCAAAGAAATCAATAATGACTCCAACCTCAAAGAGAGGTAAGAGAAAGACTTTATTCAAGAGAAAGAAGACAGTGAAAGGTAGGCTAAAATCATTAATCCTCTAGATATGGGTGATAGCAATGTTGACATGAAGAGACATAAGAGCCATTTCCAATCCAAAGCAGATTTAAGAAACTCAGATCTGAGCAAAGATAGCATGAAATTCTTGTAAGAATTTCAGCATCGTACGCTATATACTGATGAGAATAACAATTCAGTCAATTAGGTTTAAAATTATGGGGTTTTGGGGTTTTGGGGTTTTGGGGTTTTGGGG